TGAAATCAGAATGATTTTTAAACAACATAAGAACATCCAATAACAGAATGTATACAGAATGATTGAAACACTTCCTCAATAAATTTTCCGAGAGTACCGAAAGCAGCAAAGGGGTTATTCTCAAGTGATGTCAATTGGAAATTTTTATTATTAATGATTTTGTAGTCAAGTTGTGCTTAAAAAGTGCGTCATGTTAAAACTTCCTTGGGTCTGATTGTGTCAAAAGTGTTCAAAGGGGTACAAAGGTATCTAAAGGGGGACAAAGGTATGTAAAGGGGTACAAAGGTATCTAAAGGGGTACAAATGTATCTAAAGGGGTACAAAGGTATCTAAAGGGGTACATAGGTATCTAAAGGTGCACGCAGCAGCCCAAATGGGTACGTAGTAGTCCAAAAGGGTACACAGAAGTTTAAAAAGCAACTTACAAAGTCAAAAATGTCCACTGATTAAGTGTCATTCAAAATCTCTCTTTGAAATGTTAGACATCAAATGTTAATAGCCCCCAACCCAACAACAACATTTGAATATGAATAAGAGGAAAAAAATAATATTTTTCGCTTTCAATGAGGCGCAATTTTTTTGTTAGAAACAATACAGACATAATGGGAAAATGCAATCCAGATGTGGAGCAAAAGACACGCGGAATATGTTTATGTATATGAATGGAGCACAAGCAATAAGCATGTTCTCTTGGCAGGCGCAGCATAAATGTTTAATATCTCCGTAAATGTTTTTATACTGCGCCACTTACACTCTTTATGATCTCGCTTGTATTACAACAGAAATTGTGGATATAAATAAAGCAACAGCCATGCTTTACGAGAAATAAAGTTGTTTGCATAAGCATGCAAATTCTATGAATGAAATTTTGTTGTAGTTTTTGACCTTTAAATGTGTGTAATGAAATTTATTAGAAATGAACCAGAAAAACCTCTACTTTGCATAATAATTTATGCACATATACTATTGAGACTAATGTGATTCATAAGTCTATAATAATAATTTTCATCATTGCTCTGAATTTATTTTCGCTTATTAAATTTAAATTGTATTGTGATATATGACTATAAAAATTGCTACTGAGTTTGCAATTTCCATTTTGATGAAGAAGATGATGATGTGATGGAATTGTGCCAGAAAGTGCCAATAGATTATTTTTATGGGAATCTTGTTTTGTTTTATTCGAGTTATAATTTTTTTGAATTTTATTATGTGCCAAATATTTTTTTTGTTTGCTTCATGAGTGCGTTCAGTAAAATTTACTGCCTCAAAAGTTTGTTCAAAAAATAATCTGCCTCAAGAAAATGTTCAAAATAATTTTCTGTCTCAAAGAATGCGTTCAGTAAAATTCACTCTCATCAAGAGTGCGTCCATTAACATTTTTCAAGACTGTGTTCAGTAAAATTTCTTCCCCAAGAACGTGTTTTTCTTTTTCTTCCTTTTTTTTTCTTTTTCTGGAACGTGTTAAATAAAAAATTTTGCATTAAGAGTACGTTCAATAAACTTTTTTGCATCAAATGTACGTTCAGAAAGATTTTCGCATCAAATGTACGTTCAGTAACATTTCCACATCGAAAGTGCGTTCAGTAAAGTTTTTGCATCACTAAGATTTATCAAAATTCAGCCATTGGCACACAACATCAAACAAATAAACAAGAAGCATCATTTCCATACCAAAAATTGCAATCACTGTAATTTCACTGTCTCATCATCAAGCGACATACGTCAATCCAAATCATATTGCTGTCATTTTAGACGGGTAACGGATTCTAGCTTCAAATAATAATCCATTTCAACATTTTACTTGTAAGTATAATTTTATGTATCAAAAATCGTCAAGGATTTTTCCATTTCTTACGTTGTTTACATGCATTCAGCCTTCATCGTGCGGTGTGATTTATTTTTATGATACTTTCTATTGACAAAAACAAAACGTTGACTAGAAGTGCAATAACAGCTAGGAAGTCTTTTACCCTCACACAAATTTTTTTAATGTTTTTATTTTTCTTCCTTTTTTTTCTTTTTCTGGAACAACATAAATTGCTGTGTACACATAGCGCGAGTTGCATAGAGTCGCATAGATATAAATGCTAGGGATATAAATTTTTAGAATAAATTTTCTGTACACATTCATTGTACATAGGGGTTGATTATCCCAAAAAAATATGTACAAAAATTCAATCAATATGTGTTTGTGAATTTCAAAATAAGTTGCAGCATGGCTGAATGTATTTTCTCTCCCTCATTTGTGCATGTGTATTAGTTATATTAGTATCTAGAGAATAGACTAAAGGCACTTTGTGTTGTAGAAGTTTTATGGTGCCTGTCTATTCAATTGGAATTTCTCTTTTTTTTCTAGTCTCAGGTAGTCAGACGATGCATGTGGAGGGTTGAAGGTTAGATTTTATGGATGTATGTGAATGCACTCCACGTAATTTACTTTCTCATCTTCATAATAATAGTTTTTTTTTTCGACTATTAAACATTTGTTGTTTGAAGTATGCTTCAAATGTTTAAAAAATTGTTATTTTATAGATCTTGTTGACTTGTAGCAGATAATAATCATTTATTGAGTACAATATAATAAAATTTGTATTTTTCTAAATTTTAAAATATAGCTTTATAAGGATTTGGAAGGTCAACGTAAAATGTTTGGTTTTTTATATAAAAATCCGTAATGGATATTTAATGTCTCAAAATGATCCCAAAGAAAAAACTTTGGAATTTTAATCAGTCAATAAAAAGATTGACATAGGAAGTTTAAATGGGCATATACATAGACATAGCATGACATATAAATACAACTATAAATGTGTAATCGGACTGGAAGGTTTAAAAGATTTCCTTGTAAATAGGGGATACATGTTGTGCTTATGTTGTGACTGACGGGGAGACTTTTTTTGGTGAAACTTATTTAATTTGAGATGGCTGAGGTGAAAAGGTTTGCTATAATTTTAAAGCATTTTGGTATATTCTGGCAAACTAAGCAATAATGACCATATTGGCCATATTGTGATTCTGAACTGAATAGGTTGAAAAGGAAGCCAGAGCTCTTAATGTTTCAAACTGGAAAATGTTTCGAAAGATAGAGTCAGGAATTCCATTCATGCGTAGTTAAACCAACGAGCCCAGCCAAGGAAACAATTACATTGTGAATCTGTTTGACAAATGTCCAAGCAAAGCTTGTCCAAAGGCTAGTCAATCATTGATTTAATTGATAGAGTTCAATCCTTTCAAGAAGTAAGTTCCGGTTCGATTCCTATTCAATCCAAATCAATCATTATAGTTTTTTAAACGACACCCTTGGTTTCGAGTCTGACCCTACTTAATCTTCAAATGATCCACTTCTCCACTTTAAGCTATGGATCTTGGAAGACTTAATGACCAAAGCTAATGACAAAACCTCAACCATTAATATAAAAACATACCCTCAAACATTTTTGTCTAAACCAGTAGTTCTGAAACTATGTGCCGTGAAAAAAAATTGATTGCTAAAATTGGCCCTATATTTTCATATTTCATGACTTCAAAAAGGTTATAAAAATCATTTAGTGTGCCGCTAGATTATTCAGGTATACCCATGCATCAGTTGTTGAGACGATCTTTAAAAAAAAAACAGAAAATTTTAATTGCTTGGAAAATTGGAACATTCTTGAAAGTATCAAGCATATCTCTAGATTACTTATCCAACCGTCCTCAGAAAATAATGACAAAAAAAAATTGCCCACCTCCTCAAATTTCATCCCAAAATATTCAAATTTTAATGATAATTTTTAAATACCATCCACCCTCCCAGAAATTAACATAAAAATCTGAGAATGTCTCGCTAAAATCTGCACAGTGGGATGCCCTACGATGCAGTCCTGCAAAGAGGCATACATAATAATAAGAGAGAAAGAAATAGGATACTTGAGTGCACATGGTTTAATAACCAATACATGAGAAATTACACATAGTATGAGACACATTTATAAAAGAAATAAGGGAGAAACACAAAAAAATGCCGAGCATTACAAAATCCATTATAGATTCAAATCTAAAAAGAGATTTTTTTTGTTGTTGCTCTATCTTTTTTGTAGCTCTTTTATTGTAATAACAATTGTAGGGCATGGTTGCAATCCACTTCCTGTTTTAAGATGAAATTATATTTTTATTGTTTGCTTATTTTTTTAAAAAAATCAGTGAAAGAATTTTTTAAAATAATATTTTACGGACAATAAATTGCATTTATGAGCAGCACATATTTGTCATCATGTTTGACCCTTGCTTGTAGATTTGTTAGATTAATTCTATAGAATTTCTATTCTCTTTTATAATGAAGCGAAGGAATTTATTGAATAAGTTTTGATCATAAATTTTAATACGGAATAATTAAATTGGAACTCAGCCCACATGAATGTGAGTCAGAATGAGTCCAATTTTGGGTATTTATAATTTGAATTATCAAGAAGATCAGTTATAGTGGAGTGTACTGAGTTTTTGAAAAAGAACTTCTTTCCTATAGAATGGGAGTCCAAGAATAGGGTCAAATTATTTTACAACAACAGCATTAGGCTTCATCCCTAAATAGATTAAAAAAATCTAAACTATCCTCATTCAAGCTGTAGATCAGAACTTTTTGAATGTTTTGGCTAGCTTCGTACTTAAATTCATTTACGAGCACTAGTAGGCACACATAGCTTGAGTTTACAAGCTATTTTCCTACTCCCTGCCTGATTAAGCGTAGATCTTAGCTTTTAGGTTGCAACACTAGTTTATATTCACAAATTTCTAGAATAACCATAGTTTCTCAACGAACTAGTTAACTGAATGGTTAAGACACGCAACCTTCAAATTAAAATCCATCATTTAAGTAGTTGAAGGTTCAAATCCCATCTTGTTCGAATTTATTTCACATTTATAAAATTATGATGACTTCATAAAAATTTTCCACATTCACAAAAACTTCTCCTAAAGATGCAATTTGACGTCAATTTATATCCAATTGAATAATTTCTTACCGTAATTTAAACTGTCGTTTATAAGAGCAGCAATGAGTATTTTACATTCACTTTCGATCGAATAACAAAATCTTTTGAAGCACTTTAGTCCTTCCTTTGAGATTAAATCGATCAAATATTGACATTTCTTATCATTCAATTCATTCTCATTCTCATTATCGTCCGTTTTTAACAGAAAATCTAAATCATTTTTGTCAATCACCGTCTCATCGACGAGCGACTGTAATACTGCTTTATTCGTAAGTAAATCTTGTATTAATATTGATTTGTATTTCGTTAGAAGATCAGAAATTTCCTTTGTATGATCCGTCGTCATGTTTCAACTTCATATAGCCGCTTAAGCTTAATAATAATCACTCATGAGCACTTAGCATGATTTTTTTTTTAATTTTTTTTTTCTTCTTTATTTTCTTATTCCACTTTAATTCCAATTCACTTCTTTTGTTTATGCTATATCCACCATAGAACACCCGGCTAACGTTTGAAACTTCAAAAATCTATGCACGTCTATTCGGGTTGAATGTCTTGCACAAACTGACTGATGTTTGTATACAAATCGTGCAACATTGTTGAATAGTAAAGCAAGAAGAAGGAACGAAGAAAGTAAAATTGGCTGTCAATGTGTTGGTGATGTGGGAAAAAAATTGAATATCTAAAACCCGTTATGACTAGTTTGAGAAAGAATTAGAATTTTAGAAATTCATGACAGAAAATCACATACTAATCAGCTATTCTTTTTTAACTTTGGTAGATTTTATTATGTTTAACACCACTAATTGTCAGTATGTCCATAAAAAGCAATCAAACTTAATAAAAATCAACTTTCAACAAAACAATTCACAATCTGCAGCCAACTTCACGTTACTGCACTTTTTAAACTATAACGATCATTTAGGAAAGATCATTGGATTGAAGACATTCGATGGAACGAATCGTCCACTTCCAGCAGTGACATTCAACTTCCCATCCTCAAATGCAACATTTCCATTGACAATGACTATTTCTGGAACTCCGTGACACACCATTCCTTCAAAAATATTAAAATCGCAAGCATGATGATGAGTCTTGACTGAAATTGTGCGAGTAGCTTTGTGATTCCAAATGACAAGATCTGCATCAGCTCCGACTGTTATTGAACCTTTTTGTGGGTAGATGTTAAAAATTTTGGCTGCATTTGTGCTGTAAATGAACATAAATTAATCAATGAACATTTCAAACATGTCAGCCTTGACTCACGATGTCACAGCAACGAACTTCTTAGCATCAATGATCCCAGCATGCACACCTTTCTCCCAAATGACACTCATTCGATCCTCAACTCCATTGACACCATTAGGAATCTTTGAAAAATCATCTTTTCCTAGTTCCTTCTGATTCTTATTAAACGTGCAGTTATCAGATCCAGTAGCTTGAAGATCATCATCACCCAACATTTTCATCAGCACTGCAGGTGTTTCTTTGTTTGGACGTAATGGAGGTGACATTACATGAGCTGCAGCATGATGCCAGCATTTGTCATAATATTCATTTCCAGTTGTTCCTAAAGCAGCAGCAAGTGTCTCACCAAAAATGAAGTTCTTGCCCCATCTTTGACGAGCTCTAGCAACTTCTTCTGCTGCTGAAATAGACATAACATGCACAACATAAAGTGGACAATTTGTTTGATGAGCAATGACGCAAGCTCGGTTTGTAGCTTCAGCCTCAACATCCTCAGTTCTTGAGAGTTGATGACCTTCTGGTCCACGAACTCCACTTTGAAGTAGTTTTTCTGTATTTTTGGCAATAATGTCTCCATTCTCAGCATGGACTTGAGCAATAGCACCAAGATCTCGACAATGCTCGAAAGTTTCATAAAGTTCGCTGTCATCGAGCATAAACAAGCCTTTGTATGCCATAAACATCTTGAAGGAATTGATTCCTTTTTCTTTGCATAAAATTGCCATTTCGTCTCTGACTTGTGGGCTCCACCAAGTAATGGCACAGTGCTATGAAAAATATTTAATGTCATCATTAGGATATAGCAAGCAACTAGCCTCAAAAACTTACCAATGCATAGTCACAAACAGCTTTACTATCAGCACGTGTGCGCCAAGAGTCATAAGCATTAAGTAGTGATTCACCTTTCTTTGGTATCACAAAATCAATAATAGAAGTGGTTCCACCAGCAACAGCTGCACATGTTCCATGAAAGAAGTCATCAACAGCCACTGTATTGCCGAATTCTAGCTCAAAATGTGTGTGAGGATCAATGCCACCGGGTAGAACATATTTTCCTTCTGCATCGATTATTTTAACATTTTCTGGTGCCTTAAAGTCAGCTTCACTTCCAATGAAGCTTATGATTCCATTTTCGATAAAGATGACTGAATTTTCTTGGATGGAATCAAAGTTTACGATGCAAGCGTTTTTAATGTAGAGACTTTCTGACATTCTAGAACAGAAAATTTATTGTCTGAGGTTAGTTGGGAGAATGAAGTAGAAGATTCTAAAATAAGCTATGTTTATGGATGCTATATTTAGAATGTGTAATTTTTCATGCACGTGATGAGTAATGCATTTTAAATCGAGATTTTGTTATGAGTTGTGATAGAAATGATTTGTTTTGACTAGTTCCGAACAGTTGAATCTAAACTAGAAGATATTGTGATTTTGAAGAGGTCATGAGTGATTTGATTTGGTGTGACAGTAAGGGCTGATTTATAAAGGTACATCATAGCAATATCTTTAGTATCAAGACTGATGCAATTCAAGAAACAGGCTTCATAGATCAAAATGATATTGATATAATAGACAATTCCGGAACTGCCTATAAAAATCTTAAGCTATACATTTGAAGGGGTATTGAGGTAAGGGTGTGTTTTAGATACCAGAAAAACTTACACCAGCACCATCCTTAACCTCATCTTTCAAGTCCCTTCCCCAAAATTAACCCATCCTTGTGACGTCATGAATCAAGTTCAAGTTGAATTCAACTTGATCATCTTCAAAATAAACTCATTTTCAAGTTCTAGTTGCATTCACAATAGATAACTACTTCTCTCATTATTTTTCAGCATAACATGATTTTTTGCTTCTTCAAACATTGAGTCAAAATAGAGTCAAGAAGAAAAGTCTTGTCGAAGAGAGGAAAAAAAAGTCATAAATGAAAATATTTTTAATTTTTATGACTTTCTATAAATAATCCTGATAAAGTATCTTCCATATCAAGCTGTGCGCCTTTTTATCTCGAAATATTTTTTAATAATGCCAATTAAGTTCTTATTTTTCACAAATTGAGTCGCAATTGCTACTTTTAATTGTCTAATGACCTCTATAAACATTTTAGCTTTGATTCCACAAACTTTTTCACCTTAAATTGAATTTTTCCGAATAAAATTAGCTACTCACATGTCTTCAGACTTTTCTATTCGACAACTGAGTGAAAACTGAGACATTTGAGTAATAAATTTTAAACTTTATGGTTCTCGTATCAACGTACGTCTATTATTACGCACAACAAGCTGTTGATTTTTCTTTTTTTGGGTGATTAACAGTTTTTAATTCTGACTTGATGAGCTGATTTTGAGCTGATTAATAATTTTATATGACATTATCACAAATATTTACATTTTTGCAGATAACTGTGCAATCAGCACAAGGTAATCACTCTGTGAACTCAGAATCTCGATTGCTGATATTTAGTGCATCATTTGAATGTGTTTGTGGATCTTTAGAATTTTCTTACATTTTAATAAATTTATACTAGATGGCGCTAGGGGGTCGTCAACATGTTGAGGACTATGGTGACATTTTGACATTTTTTTTCATTTTCTAGATGACTTTTGTCCTTGTCCATTTCATGTTTAGTCATAGGTAAGAATCGAATCCAAGTCTTTTTGAATAAAACCATTTAAATAAAGTTAAATCAAAATTTTCAATCTTACAACAATTTTTTAAAAAATTGTCAATTTATTTATAATTTTATTTCGGAAAAATGACATCAAAAAATTTCTAAACTTCATCAGTCACTTTACTTTTTCCTCTTGCCACAAAGTGTAATCGACAGCTGGAATTTCACTGCATGGAACGACCTTGTTTCTGAAATTATTAAAATACAAAGATTAATTATTAAATTATTATAAAGTCATTTAATATTGGGGATTGATTGATGATGAAATGGCTCAATGGTTCATAGGTTTAGCTTTTAAGTACACAAATTGTCAAACATCTGGTACGAGTTCGAATCTCGAAACATAAGTTTCTTCTCTGCTCAACCTATTAGATTTGAATACTTGACTTACAAACTTTGGTTGTGGTTCGAATCTCATAAATAATCAGTTGTGAGTTCAAGACATCATTATGAGCTTTAGCCTAATTCAGACACCATTGCCATATTATTCAAATAATTCCAACTTACTCATCATTCAAAGTTATAAATGCATTAGGTTGCATGCTTGAAATGTTATTTCCATTGTCACAGAACATGCGTGCCATGCTTAACTTTCTAATTTCCGCCAATTGATCAGGCTTAAGTGCAACTTCTTCATCACCAGTTTCGAACCAGTAACGATCAGCAACACGAGTTTTGTAGAATTGTTTCATGTAGATGCACTGATAAGTTGGACCAGCCAAAACAGTTTTATCAAGACGACTTTCGAGGATTCCACCGACACTGAGTTCAACATCTTCGTAGCTTGGGTAAACTGATTTTAAGTTGCCGAGATCCTAAAATTTGAAAATTTATTTAAATTTACAGCTATAACAGCTTAATAGGATAGCAAACCTCCTCAGATATCAAATCCAAGTAATCCTCCCACTTAGTAGCTTTTGGAAGTCCACAAAGTTCTCTGAACTCATTATAAGTTGCAATACCATGATCTCTGCCTCTTTGAACATCAATAGCTCTAATGTCATCACCATATTTCTTCAAATGTCTGAGAAGGAACTCCTTAACTTCAATATCGAAGTTCTTGTCAGCCTTTTGGAATGATTGTGTAGCCATACCACGTCCAAATGAGTCGTAGTTGTCATCTTTTTCCAAAATTCTTGGACGAAGGAAGACGTTGCTGATTCTGAGAGTTTCTGTGGTTTCGCGGGATTCTGACATTAATCTGATGAATAAAGTAAATGAATTAATGAATTAAAAAAAAAAGTTTAACTTAAAACTTTGATGACTCAAGCTTGAAATTACTTCTTAAACATTTCGTAAATGTTTGCTTGCTCAAAAATATTTAATACCCAAAGTAAGCACCAATGAATGTCATTAAACTTTCACACAATGTCAATCAATTCACTAATAAATAATACAATACTAACTTCAAATGCCCTTCAATCGATGAGTGATAGTAACGGAAGGCAGTTGATGAATGATCATTGTAGACAGCTGGATCAACAGAAGCATCATAATCATTAACATATTCACTTCCATCCTTATAATAGAGCATCTTAGCTTTGTACATATTTTCTTCACCAAGGAACAAAGGCAACCATTCATAATACACAACATATTGGTATTGAGCGATGTTGATGCGACGAGCTTCCTGAAAAACTTTCTCGTCAGTCCAATTTGGATTTAATTGACTAAGAATGTCAGCCAAACGATTATGTTCACGGATGTAGAAAATGTGTAAAATAGTCAAGTCAGGACTTTGATTTAATCTTGGGTCACCTCCAAAGTAGCAAGTTTCACCGGGTGTCTCAACATAACAAACATTATCACCATTTGGATGGTGAGGAGGCCATTCCTTGCCATTGCGCTTTTCCATTATTAATCTACCTCCATTATATTCGCGAATAGAATCTAGTTCTTTCTCTGAGTTACCATAAATGAGTGAAAGGTCAAGAAAGCCAGTCACGACTGTTATCTGCTCAGCAGGTTGATTTGATTCATTTTCGTTAAGCTCATTGTCCTTATCAGTTAAAGTACGTTGAAATTTCATACATTCTACTCCATCGGATGAATGGATTGGATCGTCGACTGGAATTGGAATGTTGAAGCAGTGTGACTCATGTGATGAGACCTTTCCATCATCACAACATGGCGGGTTGAGAGATCCACCAGTAAATGCCATGTCATGTGCAACAAACTGTCCAAATTGCATCATAACAATTGTATGATTTGGATCCGGCACATCCTTTCTACCAAAAACTGTCGTCGAGACAACACGAGCACTTGGCAATTCCTGTCCAGTCACTGACTTTGGTGGTGCATGAATTCCATCCGAATAATTTGGTGGCAATAAACGTCCATATTTGGTACCTGCTGCACCCCAATCTCGATTGACTAAATTATTACACGAGCCGTCTAATGTCCGATAATGATGAGTGACACAATTATCGCCGATGACATTTACTGCCAATAAAGACGCGATAGAAATAAACAAAATCATTTTTTAGAACCTTTTATTTTGAAAATCCAAGAGAGACTTTCACAACAAGAGCGACCGCAAAAGACTAAGTACTGACTTTGAATATTAAGTAACTTTATACTCAAAAAAAATTATTTTTTGATTTGCTCAATAGAAATTGTAATGGTGAGTAAGGTCAGTGTCTAGGGGGCTGCTTATTATTTTTGAATGGGTGATATGTGGATATATAGATATCCTGAAAATATTTTTAAATTGTTTCCAAACTTATAATGATCACAACTATTAGATTTGAAGTAAATGATTAAGATTTGTAAGGAATTGAACTTGATAATGACGAGAGTTGCATGGAATAATTGTAATGTGAGAATTTAAAATTTATTTGCAAAGTCACTGTGAAGATAAGATAAGTAATATCCCCAAGGCATTACTCAAGTTGTTTAGATTGATTTATTTCACTTGCATGTCATTGAATCATTCAAATATGACGTCTTATATTTTATATCCAATGAGATTGGATATCATTTAATGGATTGCTAAGGTATAATGAGGCATATGTCTATAGAATAGAACTTTAAACTGCTAGGGAGAGTCCAAAAGCACAGGTTCCTCTTAAGGATCCTCATTTTAGGATCTCAATCTTAAGCAGTCATTATTTCCAAAGCTGTTTATATAAATGCTTCAGTTTTAAGATTTGGTTAAATTTTGCATATCCAGAAGTCAGTCTCAACTTGAGGTTCAGACCCCATTAAACCCTATCATGACTAGCTCATTAAAAAACCTCTTTGTTGAGTTATTTCAGCTATAAAAATCAAGGTCAAGAGAAATTCACGAACTTAGAACTGATAAGAGACATTCTAGAAAGAATAAACAATCCAGACATGATTTATTATCTCTCGCTGTGCCATAAACAAAATATTCAGAAGTTAACACTCGTTTATTTATAAATTAACATACATTTATTAAGCATTTTATGGACTCCCATGCGAGCTTGTCATCGTTTTTGGATGTCGGAATAAGAATTTCTTTCTCAGATGTGAGGAAATTTATTTTTTATTTTTTGGATATGCAAGAATGCTGTTAATGTTAAATAATGTCAACAAATTTATACATTTAATGATGCAATAAGATGCAGTTTAACATACAAACTTACTCGAGTGGATAAAACCCACACAATGTAATCAGGTAAGTAAATTTTTCATCAAGTTTGTTATCCCGTAAGTGTGTTCATACAAGAATGTTTTTCTTTTGTGTCGGGTCACTTGAATGTCGTGAGAATGTGTGCTGTTTATTTTGTTAATTAGACTTTTTGAGCGTGTACAGGATTTGAGGAAGTTTTAACTGAGAAAATACATGATCACTATGGCATAGTTCCAGCGTATCATATGTTTTTTGGGACATGTTGCTATTTGGTACTCAAAACCCAACATTTTGACCTACTTAAGTGTCAATAATTTTTGTTTATTTACCAAAACTTAAATCATGTCCAAGAATCTCTCCAAGCCAGTAACAAACCAAATAATTTGCATAGTGAAAGTTAAAAAAAAATTCCTATTAAGCATTATTCAGCATAAATTAAGATACATATGCATATTTCTTGAATATTCTATTCCCAATTTAGCAACAAGTTGTAAATTTTCTTCTACAATATAAACAGCTTCTTATCCTCTACCACCAGCAAATCCAACCAAATTCTCACTTCAAAACCCATAAAGTCACCTCTCATCACAATATCGGACTGATCACGTGCTTTACACAAGGAAATGATTCAATTTAAATTAACAAGCTACAAAAAAATCAGCACCAGCAATAAAAAAAAAAATATAAAAAGTTCTCTCAACATACAATCCGTGTCCAGTATCTTTTATCCCCCCATATGTGTCTCGCCGGCTATATTTACATAAACAATATCCATATGGAAGTGCGCCCATTGATATTAAGATTTTTATACCGTTATCATACAAAACATACGAGTCCATCCAGATATAAATTCATTCATATTCAAAAGAAATTCTTGTGAGTTCAAGAAACTTTAAATTTGCAAGGCAAAAAAAGCAGGAATTAAAACAGAAATTAAGGTTTGGACGCTGAGTTTGAAAACAGGTTTGAAATAAAGTTAATATTTTGGGTTTGGGCTTGACTTGTTTGGATTTTGAGGATGAAGTCTAGAAATTATAGGGATATATAAATGTAGGTCCCTAGCCCTTGTTTTAATCAAGTTCTGAAGCTGGAACTGAATCACTCAAATATGATTATGAAAGTAATAAAATAAAAAAGCTGTCTGGGCGCCATCAAAGCAACTCTACGCATTTGTGAGTATTGCAGTCAACATGGTGATTTAACAATGCCCTAGTGACTATGTTTCATCGGTTAGGATCATCAAGAACTTCACTTTCTCTATCTACATTGAATTTCCTTGAACAAACTAATCCGCAAACTCTATAGAGTATCCAAAATATCCCCATAGTGTCCAAACCTTGTCCAAAAAATTAAGAATTGACATGATAATAAAAAATTATCTTCGATTGGGATATAAAACGACCCGAAACGCTGCAGGTAGAGGCACAATTCATTTACACTTCGTAAAATGAAGAGGTTCTTGGTTCTGCTCGTGCTAATAATTTTGTTGCTTGAGGAAAATCAGATTTTAGCAAATGTAAGGAAAGGTAAGCATCCAATAATTTAGAATTAAGTCGGATTTAGTTTTATAATCTAATTAAATTCTCATTTCTTTTTAAAGATTTTTGTGAGTCCATTTCCTTGCCAATAAAATGTGATCGGACATCAAAATATCGACAAATTAATGGTAGATGTAATAATTTAATAAATCCGTATTTGGGAGCTGCAAATACAAGGCTAAGCCGGCTTATGAGATCTAGATACTCAGATGACATTTCAGCACCTCCTAAATCTGTTAAAGGAGGTGATTTACCAAGTGCTAGATTGATATCGCTGACTGCATTTAGTGACAATAACGTTCCGAACGTAAAGTTCACGCAAGCCTTTATGCAATTTGCACAGTTAATTGCACATGATGTGTCATTTACTTTAGCAGCTCCAACGCAACGTGGATGCTGTCGAGATAATGGATTACTCGTGCCAAAACCGGATAAAAGTTGCTTATACATTCCAGTGCCGAGAACTGACAATATTCATTCAGGAATGACATGTATGGAATTTACAAGATCTTTAACGGATAATGATGTGAATTGTCCCAATTATCCAAAAGGATATCCATCAGAACAAATTAATGGAGCCACAGCAAGCATGGATTTATCTCAAGTTTATGGAGTTAGCCATGAGAATCTGAAGAAATTACGTTCATTTAAGAATGGTCAGCTCGGAGTAGAAAGTCGTTTCAATTCAACCTTTCCATTGCAGGAACCAAACGCCAGTAAAGAATGCTTCATTCAAGCACCACGCGAGACATGCTATCGTAGTGGTGATTCAAGGCTTAATCAGAATCCTGAGCTGTCAATCATTCATATTTTATTTATCAGGGAGCACAACAGGATTGCTAAGGAACTGCAAAAGCTTAACCCACGATGGTCAGACGAGATTCTGTTTCAAGAATCTAGACGTATCAACATTGCTCAATTCCAAAATATTGCCTTTTATGGATGGTTCACTTCAGTCGTGGGTGCTAAGAATGTAAAGACTCTTGGCTTCTTTTATCAGCCATCAGGCAATGAATATGCAAATGATTATGATGCAAAATTAGATCCCAGCATATACAATGAGTTTACTGCTGGATTATTTAGGTTACTTCATACAATGATTGACGGACATTTGAGGTAAATCACGTGAATTTTGAAAACTTACTTGATCACTTGACCTGACGAACCCCTAAAATTTCAATTAATTTTCCAGAAAGCTATCTGAAAATCAAAAACTCGAAGAAATCGTGAGACTGTCTGAAACGTTCCATCGACCAAAATTCATAGAAGGTCAGGGAAGTTTTGATAGCTTCTTAAGAGGAATGGTAGCTCAGCCAGCACAAGCATTTGACAGCAATTATGATGCTGAAGTTCGTTCGTATTTATTCAAACGACGAAAAATTTATGGTGGTGATTTGAAGGCACTGGATATTCAACGAGGCCGTGATCATGGACTTCCTAGCTATAATGATTTAAGAAACTTTTGTGGACTTCCTAGAGCTACAAAGTGGGAAGATTTTGGTGATTATATAGCTTTATCGGTGAGTATGGTTTGAGAAATCGTAGACCAAGCTTATGATTTTTTCTGCAGGACATCAACAACTTGAAGAAAGTTTATGCGGATGTTGATGATGTTGTAAGTATGATTTTGAACTTTTTTATGGCCAATCATTAACTTTAAATGTTCAATATAGGATATGAACGTAGGATCATCACTTGAAAAGCCTTATGCACCTGGAATAACCATAGGAATCACATATACATGCATCCTTAAAATACAAGTCAAAGCTTTTCGTTCTGGTGATCGTTTTTGGTTTGAAAATAATGATCCAGCAGCTAGATTCACTCCAAATCAGTTAGCAGAGATCAGAAAAGCTAGTTTTTCAAGGATAATATGTGACAATACAGAAAGCATCTTTAAAGTTCCTCAAAATGTATTCCTGATAACAAATGATGTGAATAATACTTATGTGAAGTGTTCTGATGTTCCGAAAGTTGATTTGTCATTGTTTAAGGAATAAACGCGGCACTAATGAAGAATAAATGAAGTTTTTAAAAATAAAAATAAATGTGGTATTATTTACGTATACAACGATCCAAATGACAGCAATATTATGTTTATTACCACAGTTTTGTCATACTAGCAATGTTGAAGAAATAGACTGACTTAATACTTTAATGACTATTGAATACGGTTATAGAATATAGAGCCAATTAGGTGTCGTTAATCATTATATTCAAATCGTGAATGTAAAACGGACGATGCAATTCGTGAGTCGTGACCAAAAGTAACCGAAACGACTATCGTACTTTTCAGTTTAAAATTATTACTTAAATACAGTCTGATAAACTAAATGAAAGGCACAACTTGTTAAAGCTTTGTAAAATGAAGATTATCTTGATTTTACTTTCAACAATAATTTTCCTGGTTAAGGAGAATCAATCCATAGCGAATTTTAAGAACGGTAAGCAAATATTTTGATTAAGTAACAAGCCATTAATTTAATCATATCCTCATTTTCGCAGAGTTTTGTGAATCCGTTCTAAAGCCATTACAATGCAATCCAACATTAAAATATCGACCAATTAATGGCAGATGTAATAACTTACAAAATCCATATCTTGGAGCTGCAAACACAAAATTTGGTCGACTTATGAAAGCTCGATATTCAGATGGCATTTCAGCACCTCCTAAATCAGTAACTGGAGGTGAACTTCCTAGTGCTAGATTAATATCACTTGAAGTCTTCAATGATACAAACATTCTGAATTTAAAATTTACTCAAGCTTTTATGCAGTTTGCACAAATGATTGCTCATGATATTTCAAATATTTTAAGTGCTCCAACACAACGTGGATGCTGCAAAGATGATGGAAAACTTGTTCCTAAACCAGACCAAAATTGCTTACACATTTCAGTTCCACCAGTAGACGAAAATCATTCAGGAATGAAATGCTTAGACTTTGTGAGATCCTTAACAAATAATGACATGAAATGTCCAAATTATCCAAAAGGTCCTGCAGAGCAAATAAATGAAGCAACAGCTAGTTTGGATTTATCTCATGTTTATGGAACAAGCAAAGAAGTTCTGAATAAGCAACGTTTATTCCAAAATGGTATGTTGGCAATGGAAAAACGTTTTAATTCGACCTGGCCAATTCATGATCCAAATACTAAGAGTACATGCTTCACTGAAAACTCTAAAGAGACTTGTTATATCAGTGGTGACTCAAGGATTAATCAAAATCCAACATTGTCAGTTATGCAAATTTTATTTGTCCGAGAACACAATCGAATCGCTTTAGAGCTACAAAAATTGAATCCACATTGGTCAGATGAGATTTTATTTCAGGAAGCAAGGCGCATTAATATTGCTGAATTTCAGTATATTGCTTACTATGGATGGTTCTTTTCAATCGTGGGTGTTAAAAATTTGGAATCACTTGGATATTACTTTCAGCCATCCGGCAGTGAATATGCTAATGACTATAATGCAACTTTAGATTTTAGTATATTTAATGAATTCCCTTCCGGAGTGTTTAGGTTGCTTCATACAACAATTGACGGACATTTGAGGTAAGTTACAAAGCTATTTGATGAACTGTTTAAAACCAATCAAATTTATAGCAAAGTATCAGAGTCTCGTACGCTTGAAGAAATAGTAAGGCTTTCTGATTTTTACCATCGACCGAAAGCAATCGAGGGTTATGGAAACTTTGACAGCTTCCTACGAGGAATGGTGGCACAGCCAGCTCAATATTTTGATGGAAACTATGACGAAGAAGTTCGATCATATCTATTTAGAATGCAAAAAGAATTTGGAAGTGATTTGAAGGCATTGGATATCCAAAGAGGTCGTGATCATGGACTTCCAAATTATAACGAATTAAGGAGTTACTGTGGGCTTCCAAGAGCTACAAAATGGGAAGATTTTGCTGATCATATTCCTTTATCTGTAGGTTCTAGAATTCTTTGAAATTTAAGGATTAATCATCTTGTTTTCTTTACAGGATATTGATAATTTGAAGAAAGTTTATGCTGATGTTGATGATGTTGTAAGTTTGAATTCAACGTAACTTAACTTGGGGGCCATTCACTTATTACGTAACGCTTTTAGGGGGGGGGGGGTCTAAGATTTTGTTACGGTTCAAACAAGGAAATTTTTTTTTTCATACAAATTTTGTTACGAGGGGGGGGGGTCTAAGAAGTCATTTTTTCGCGTTACGTAATAAGTGAACAGCCCCTTGATTAAATTCAATGATTTTTTTGCATACAGGAATTTAACGTTGGATCATCACTTGAACTACCACATTCACCAAACACAATGATTGGAATCACTTATGCCTGCATTCTTAAAATTCAAGTTCGAGCTTTTAGATCCGGCGATCGTTTTTGGTTTGAAAATAATGATCCAGCAGCTAGATTCACTCCAAATCAGCTAGCAGAGATCAGAAAAGCTAGTTTTTCAAGAATTATTTGTGACAATACAGAAAGTATCTTTAGTCTTCCTCAGAACACATTCTTGATACCAAATGAAGTTAATAATACTTATGTGAAGTGTTCGGATGTTCCTAGAGTTGATTTATCATTCTTTAAGGAATAAATATGATTAAAAGTAAATCAGATTTTGCTATAAAAGTGACTAAAACCAAATAAATCTTAGTTTTATTTTTTTCAACTGATATAACTACATGCTGCAATACTGATTAATAAAATACTAATTGCATTGTGATTGAATGGCAAAATTTTATTGATACTAGACCTTCGTGGTGCTTTGTGGCGCAATGCTGAGTATAAACTTTTAAGACAGGGATTGTTCATTTATTACGTTCGTTTTTCAGTTGAATTTCCATACCTACAAAAATTTCATAATAAGTCGAGAAGGTCTAAAAACTTACATTCTTGCATGCATGATGTAAACTAAAAACAACCTCGCAGCAATAAGTGCGTTTTAAAATAGAAATTCAACAAATAAAATAATTCAAAGCTCTAATTGAATTAATTAAAAGTTCAATAGACAATATGAAGAATGCGTAGCCAAGGTGTAACTATTTAATAATTTAAGAACATGCGGTTAACTGATATGAACAATTTACGATTTAAAAGCGATGTTAAACACATCAACAAACTCAAAGTTCTTGCAGATTTCGAAGAATGAAGAAGTTCTTAGCTTTATTAATTTTCGTAACTGTTTTGGTTTCGAAACACAAATGCTGGGAAATTGACACAAAAGGTAAGGAACTAGCTTTGTCATCATAGAATCACTTAAACTCTTATATGCTGTCGTGTGATCTTTCAAAGCTTAACATCTTTAAAAAGTGAATAAATTTATATTTTATCTTATAGAGTTTTGTGAATCAGTTTCGCTGACTTTAAAGTGCGATCCATCACTAAAATATCGACAGATTAATGGGAGATGTAATAACTTACAAAATCCATACTTTGGAGCTGCAAATACAAAACTCAACCGATTTATGAAATCTCGATATGCTGATGGCGTTTCAGTTCCTCCAAAATCTGTTACTGGAGCGGATTTACCTAGTACTAGATTGATATCACTTGAGGTCTTTAATGACACAAAACTTCAAAATGAAAAATACACACACGCTTTTATGCAATTTGGACAGCTTGTTGCTCATGACATAGCAAATATCTTGAAAGTTCCAATACAACGAGGATGTTGCTTAGGAAACGGAAAACTTCTTTCAAATCCTGATTCAAGTTGTTATTGCATTCCCGTGCCTAAAAGTGATGAAATCCATAAAGGATTGCAATGCTTAGATTTTAAAAGATCTATAACGGATCAAGACATGAAATGCCCAAACTACCCAATAGGACCTGCTGAACAAATAAATTCAGCAACAGCTAGTTTAGATTTATCGCATATTTATGGAACTAGTAAAGAAGTTCTAATGAAGCAGCGCTCATTAAAAAATGGTCAATTAGAAGTAGAAACACGTTTCAATTCAACTTGGCCAAAACATGACCCAAAAACTAGGCATACATGCTTCACTGACAACGCTCAAGAGACGTGTTATATCAGCGGTGATTCAAGGATTAATCAAAATCCAACATTGTCGATTGTACAAATTTTATTTATCAGAGAACATAATCGAATCGCTTTAGAGCTACAAAAATTGAATCCACATTGGTCAGATGAGATTTTATTTCAGGAAGCAAGACGCATTAATATTGCTGAGTTCCAAAATGTTGCTTATTATGGATGGTTTACTGCTATTGTGGGTGCTCAAAATGTAGATTCACTTGGATTTTATTATAATCCATCTGGAACAGAATATGCTAATGATTATGAAAAGACTTCAGATCCTAGTATATACAATGAGTTTCCATCGGGTGTCTTTCGATTGCTACATACAACTATTGATGGACAGATAAGGTAAGTTCTTCGGAGTAAGGCAAGAATTTTCCTTTAATTCCAAGATAAATAATTCTCCTTAAATTTTCAGAAAGCTATCTGAATCCGGATCACTCGAAGGAATAGTCAGACTTTCTGATTTTTATCATCGACCAGAAGTCATTGAAGGATATGAAAATTATGACAGTATCCTCCGAGGATTGGTAGCGCAACCAGCACAGTTTTTCGATAAACACTATGATCCTGAAATTCGTTCATATTTATTCAGGATGAAGAAGAAATATGGAGGTGATTTAAAGGCAATTGACATTCAAAGAGGTCGAGATCATGGACTTGCAAGCTATAATGATTTGAGGAGTTTCTGTAATCTTCCAAGAGCAACTAAATGGGAAGATTTTGGTGATCATATTCCTATGAATGTAAGTATATGCTGTGTTTTGTTTAATCAAGGAACAATCTTAATTTTTTCCTCTTTAGGATGTTGAAAATTTAAAGAAGGTTTATGCACATGTCGATGATGTTGTAAGTTTTAAATTTAAACTGAATTTGGCTGAAAGTCCATTAATTTTATTTTTTTATTAAGGATTTGAACGTTGGATCATCTCTGGAGATACCATTTAGACCAGACTCTATGATCGGAATCACTTATACTTGCCTTCTAAGAATACAAGTAAAAAACCTCCGAGTTGCTGATCGCTATTGGTTTGAAAATAATGATCCAGCTGCAAAATTCACACCGTATCAATTGGCGGAATTAAGAAAAGCTAGCTTCACACGAATTATTTGTGACAATACTAAAAGCATCTTTAGCGTTCCAATGAATCCATTCTTTGTTGTAGGATTTGAGAATAATACGTATGTAAAGTGCTCTGATTTACCTAGAGTTGATTTATCATTATTTAAGGAATGAAGCATAGTAAAATTAATTAAGTAAATTTGGATTCTTTTCAAAGATTATTTTCAAGCTTTACATAAATCCAAGGATGAAGACAAAATGACTATTAAGGTTAAAGCACCTCAAATAATTCTTAAAATTATGCTTTTTAAGTAAACAATCCATTTAATTCTATTAATTACAGAATTAAATTCTTATAATATTAAACAGACACTGCAATTTATGTGTCGTTAAGTCGTTTGTTTGAAGATAACCAAATTAAGCAATAAAACATTTTGTAAAATTCAAAAAATGATAGTGAAAAATTCCTCATTTAAATACAAGTTGATGCGTTGCAGAAAAAGCCACAACGTATTAAACCTCTGTAAAATGAAGAAGTTTTTGGTTTTATTCATTTTAATAACAATTTTCGCTGCATCACATCAATGCTTTGCAAATTTAAGAAAAGGTTAAGAAATTAAAAACTTTTAATTTAATTGATCAAATTTGTTATTAAATTTTCAACCATATAGATTTTTGTGATTCTGTCCAAAAGCCAATCAGATGCAATCCAGCACTGAAATATCGACCAATTAATGGCAGATGCAATAATTTGTTAAAACCATATCTTGGTGCTGCAAATACAAAACTTAGACGACTCATAAAATCTAAGTACTGCCACTGTGGGGCAAAATGAAAAAAAAAGGGACTTTCACTTTGAAAAATGGACTTTTCCGATTTACACTTTTTGGGTGATTTTTTCTTGTAGAGGACATAAAAGTAGATAGAAATGCCAAATTTCAGGTCATTTGGTGCTGATTTCGCGATTCTAGAGCTGTTTGAAGTTGAAAACTAGTGAAAATTCTGGTTTTTTCATACCATGTTTGAACCGGGAAATATCTTAACTGGTTTAAGATATTGCAAAACGGTTTTCAGTTCCTATTAGTAGTATATAAGAGCTTTATTTTGACATATAACAAAGTTTAGGTTCTGAATGTTTTCGTGCCATTATGGTAGAACATATGTGAAAATTTCAGGAAAATTATCTTCAAACAAGCCGCAACTATCATAAATGAAGAGTTTCCAGGCAAGTAAAAACGCAGTTTTGTAGCCCCATATATCTAGTTTTCAAAACTGTATAAACTTTGAAAAAGTAAGCTAACGTAATTGAGTTATGTTGATTTTAGTAGGTCGTTGAGTATTTGGCCAAAAACTAATAATTCTTTTAAAAATACGAAAACATAGTTTTAAAAATAGTTTTTTGGTGTTTTCTTATGAAAAATAACAATTTAAATGATTTTGTGAAGAAAATTTTTCAAAAACTTCAAAATCTTTCGAGATATAGGGGGTATGTGCTCTCCATCGATTTGGCCATTTGTCACCCTACTTAAACCACTATAACTTTTTTTTGAAAAAATATTTTTTAATTCTGTTTTCGGATTATTGTAGCCTAATGTAATACCTATCCAACGATATATAATACTTGCTAGTTAACTTAGTCCTGGTTATTTATAGGGCTGTTGATTGTGACATACGCAGTTTTTGAAAAATTCCCAAAAATTGCATTTTCAAAAATACCACTTTTAAGCAATCTCGAGTATTTTTTGGACTTTTTTAAGAAATGTTAAGTCTGAAAAAAGCTATTATCATTAGAGTAATAAAAAAAATACTCTGATACGCAACTATAATAGGTAAAATTAATAAAGTTTAATTTTTAGTTTAATGAAATTTTGTTTATTTGTCAAGAAATTTAATTTACATTTTTTTATCATATGTAATGAAATTTATTTATTCATTCGTTGTTTGCTTCTTCAGAATATTCATGGTCTTGTCCTTCGGAATAATCATAGTTTTCTGCTTGGGAAAAGTCATAACCTTCTCCTTCTGGCTCAATCAATTCAATTTCTTCCTCATCTTTTTCCTCATTTTCTGTTTGTTGCTCAGGTGTTTCACCTTCTTCTTGGACATTTTTTCTCATTAACCTTTTATTTATTACATCCATATATTTTTTTATTATTACTGGATCAGAACTGTAGAGTCTTCTATGTATAACATCCGTAAAACTGTGTATTCTTGAAGTTTTTCTGGCACGTAGTTCTCTATCTTGTCTGAGATATTTGTTTTGTGACTCCCCGGCTTCTTCACTCATTCTTCCTAGAGGTAATGGTAAGGCTTCCATGTAGTGTTTTGCATGAGCAAGTGCTCTGTGAAGTGTTACTGGTATTTTGAACCAACTATATGTTGTCAAAAACATTCTGTATGTTTCTTTACAGTACCTATCAAATTCATCTAGATCATCAACTGGTTCTAAACTTCGAATTTGGTTTAGCACATAGCATATACGTTTAATTATTTCTTCATTAAGATATAGAGTTTTAGCTAGAAGCTCTGGATTTTCAAGAACTTTTCTTGCAACGTTTCCTGTATCTGATGATCCAGCTCCCCCTTGTCTTGGTTCGAGTACACGAACATTAAATGCATCCCACATTGCTTGCTTTATTCTAGCCTTTTCAACATCTAAAACAATCTGTTCCTCTTCAGTTATCTCCAGCCAGTGTTTTTGAACATATTGTTTATATGACAAATCATATAGAGTCGTGAGTACGTTCATTGATGTATGAAGTGGCTGAGTGTTGAAATACAAGTGTTCTTTAACAAATTTTCTGTGTGTTTTTTCGAATCTTCCATTATCAAGATTATTTATGTCACTCATCTCGTTTGGTCCTGATCTACAAAGCTGACATCTGCAATATCCTGATGTTTCTGTAAGGTCTGTGTAAACTTTTCCATCTAACATTGTGGGGTAGAATTTGTACGTAATTTCCAAAAGCATGTCTTCACATATGAATCTCTGTGGTTCAAGTTTTGATATTTGATTTTTTATATCTTCATATATCCTTCTAACATTTACTCTGGTTTCTTTGGCATGTTCAAGTTGTATTGGTCGTACTGAGTATACAGATTGACTGTTTTCGTTGTCCCATAAGCAGATATAATTTCCGTTTTCGTCTTCATGTCGTAGTTGCTGAACACTCATACTAACTGTCAATAGTGATTTGTCTTCTATAATTTCATTATTAGTCGTTTGATTCGGTTGTGTTCTATCTCGTTCTTGATTTCTTGAATTTGTTTTTCCTTGGTTATACTGTGACTGTCCTGTTGTTCCGTCCATCCCCCATGTGACGATCATTTCTGCATGAATAACTTTTGGAGTTGATTCTGAAGGTAATATTTTGATTTTGTCGTATATTTCTGAATTGTGTGCTTCAATAACTCTTTTTGTGGTGAGTTGTGTCAAATTTTTTAGTGGAATAACGGCTCTTGTATCGGTGACCGTTATGTCATCAGGATAGCATTGTTTCTCTAACCTCAACAATTTTTTAGCTGTCGGTAAAACGTTTTCGCATTCCAGTTTCAGGACTTGTCGAATATTGTTGTACTGATTTCGAGATAAATTGTTAAAGGCTTTTACACCTAGAGCTACATGTATATCTAGTTGTTTAGGTTTTGATGTAGTTTTTTCTGGAAGATCCTCTCCTTTTTGGCACGCCTTAATAAATTCTTTTAACATTTTAGCTCCTTCTACTTTTCCTTCTTCTTTAGAAAGGCGAAGTGCCAAGTGAAGAACTGATAACAATGATCCTTTTGCTTCTTTTAAACTGATATCTAATTCGTCCACTCTTCTACGTCGATGCTTATCGCTTGTTAGTTGTTCAAATGATTTCCTCTTGATGCCCTTGCTGGATGAAGGCTCTATGTCATGGACGATGTATTCAATCTCATCCATATCTTCATCTGTGTCAGTAACATTTTCTGCTTCATATATAGATTCTTCCTCAAAAAGAATCCCTCCACTAGATTCGCTGAAGTATCGTGAGTCAACTTCAAATTCCTCTTCATAGAAATCTGCATGATCTCTTAATGCATTATTCCAATTTGACTGATTACAAAACATTTTTGACTTTGACTTCAGCTTGTTTAATTTATTAATTAAACTTGGTTTCTGTGATTCCGCTAATTCTCTCCCATGAATTTCTTCTATTACTGCCAAACAGTACGTGTGCTGTGTTGCAAGATTTAACGTTTTGTCGCGAAGAATTTCACAGAGTGTTTTCTTCGTAAGTGTTGAATTTTGGTTCATTTTTGAAAGTGACTTGTTCAATGAAGTTCAAAACTGATATGATGTGTAGAGAGAATTTCACGAGTATATATATAAAATAGTTTCAAAACTGAGATTTTCACACCTGATAGTGACTACCAAGGGTACTTTACAAAGTTGTTAACTAGGGAAGTAAAAAGTTTCTAAATTTAATTTTTTGGCTTTATAATCTCATAAATGTCATAAATAAACATAAAAAAGTTCTAAAAAAATACTCGAGATTGCTTAAAAGTGGTATTTTTGAAAATGCAATTTTTGGGAATTTTTCAAAAACTGCGTATGTCACAATCAACAGCCCTATAAATAACCAGGACTAAGTTAACTAGCAAGTATTATATATCGTTGGATAGGTATTACATTAGGCTACAATAATCCGGAAACAGAATTAAAAAATATTTTTTCAAAAAAAAGTTATAGTGGTTTAAGTAGGGTGACAAATGGCCAAATCGATGGAGAGCACATACCCCCTATATCTCGAAAGATTTTGAAGTTTTTGAAAAATTTTCTTCACAAAATCATTTAAATTGTTATTTTTCATAAGAAAACACCAAAAAACTATTTTTAAAACTATGTTTTCGTATTTTTAAAAGAATTATTAGTTTTTGGCCAAATACTCAACGACCTACTAAAATCAACATAACTCAATTACGTTAGCTTACTTTTTCAAAGTTTATACAGTTTTGAAAACTAGATATATGGGGCTACAAAACTGCGTTTTTACTTGCCTGGAAACTCTTCATTTATGATAGTTGCGGCTTGTTTGAAGATAATTTTCCTGAAATTTTCACATATGTTCTACCATAATGGCACGAAAACATTCAGAACCTAAACTTTGTTATATGTCAAAATAAAGCTCTTATATACTACTAATAGGAACTGAAAACCGTTTTGCAATATCTTAAACCAGTTAAGATATTTCCCGGTTCAAACATGGTATGAAAAAACCAGAATTTTCACTAGTTTTCAACTTCAAACAGCTCTAGAATCGCGAAATCAGCACCAAATGACCTGAAATTTGGCATTTCTATCTACTTTTATGTCCTCTACAAGAAAAAATCACCCAAAAAGTGTAAATCGGAAAAGTCCATTTTGCAAAGTGAAAGTCCCTTTTTTTTCATTTTGCCCCATAGTGTACTGTGATGGCATTTCAGTTCCTCCAAAATCAGTAACTGGAGCTGAACTTCCTAGTGCTAGATTAATATCGCTTGAAGTCTTCAATGATACAAACATTCTGAACCCAAAATTTACTCAAGCATTCATGCAGTTTGCACAAATGATTGCTCATGACATCGGAAATGTTTTGAGTGCTCCAACTGAACGTGGATGCTGCAAAAGTGATGGAAAACTTGTTTCAAACCCTGATTCAAGTTGCCTGTACATACCAGTGCCTGAAAATGATTCAATTCATTCAGAAATGATGTGCTTAAATTTTGTCAGATCCATGACAAATAATGACATGCAATGTCCAGTATATCCGATAAAACCTGCAGAACAAATAAATGCAGCAACAGCAAGTTTGGATTTATCTCATGTTTATGGAATTAGCGAGGAAAGTTTAAAAAGTCAACGTTTATTCCAAAATGGTATGTTGGCAATGGAAAAACGTTTTAATTCGACCTGGCCAATTCATGATCCAAATACTAAGAATTCATGCTTCACTGAAAACTCACAAGAGACTTGCTATATCAGTGGTGATCCCAGGATTAATCAGAGTCCAACATTGTCAGTAATGCAAATTTTATTTATCCGAGAACACAATCGAATCGCATTAGAACTGCAGAAATTGAATCCACATTGGTCAGATGAGACTTTATTTCAAGAAGCAAGACGCATTAACATTGCTGAATTTCAGTATATTGCTTACTACGGATGGTTTTATTCAATTGTGGGAGTTAAAAATTTGGAGTCACTTGGTTATTATTATCAGCCATCCGGCAGTGAATATGCTAATGACTATAATGCAACTTTGGATCTGAGCGTTATGAATGAGTTTACTTCCGGAGTATTTAGGCTTCTTCACTCAACAATTGATGGACGTTTAAGGTAAGTTGCCAAATCGTTTAAAGCATCATTTATAATTCCAAATAAATTCACAGAAAAGTCTCTGAAGCTCATACACTTGAGGATGTTGTAAGATTATCAGATCACTTTCTCCGACCAAAAGTTATAGAGGGAAGCTACGATAGCTTTGTCCGTGGAATGTTGGCTCAGCCAGCTCAATTCTTTGACAAAAACTATGACGAAGAAATTCGATCATTTCTGTTCAGATTTCAAAAGAAATATGGAAGTGATATGAAGGCGATAGACATTCAAAGAGGCCGTGATCATGGACTTGCGAGCTACAATGATTTAAGAAGTTTCTGTGGTCTTTCAAGAGCTTCAAAATGGGAAGATTTTGTTGATCATATTCCTGTAAATGTAAGTACATGCTGTGTTTTGTTTGATTAAGGAACAATCTTGTTATTTCTTCTACAGGATGTTGAAAACTTAAAGAAGGTCTATGCAGATGTCAATGATGTTGTAAGCTTGAATTTGAATTGAAATTAAGCATATCAATTACTTTTATATATTTATATACAGGATTTAAATGTTGGATCATCTTTAGAACGACCATATGCGCCTAATACAATGATTGGAATCACTTATGCATGCATTCTTAAAATTCAGGTTAAAGCTTTTCGTTCTGGTGATCGTTTCTGGTTTGAAAATAATGATCCAGCAGCTAGATTTACTCCAAATCAGCTAGCAGAGATCAGAAAAGCTAGTTTTTCAAGAATAATATGTGACAATACAGAAAGCATCTTTAGTGTTTCTCAAAATGCATTTTTGATTCCAAATGATTTCAACAATACATATGTGAATTGCTCTGACTTGCCTGTCGTTGATTTGTCATTGTTCAAAGAACATATTGCTGGATAAAAAGTAATGAAGAATAAAGAATTTTATTGAAACAAATTTTTTTTGTGGTTTAAACAAAAATTATGAATCGACTTAATAGAAGTCAGAAAAGCTACGATTTAAAATTCTTAACTTATTGAGTACATGCAACTCTTTAGCAAAGCTATGCTCACTCAATTAAATGTTTATTAAATAACAATGCATTATGATATGACCCGATAAGGCAATTAATTTAATAACTGACGTTAACTAAGATCGTTGACAATTAAACGGAAAATGCATTAATGATAAGAATACATACTTCCATTTATTAATTTCCTAGACTGATATGCTAATTTTTAATTTATAAATGGCTTGAAATGTGACAGAAAAAGACATAATTCATTTACAATTAGTACAATGAAGAAGTTCTTGGTTCTATTCATTTTTATTGCTGTTTGGAGTCAACAATCATTAGCAGATCAAAGAAAAGGTAAGCAATCATGCAAAGTTTAACTGAATTTTATGAAAGTTTCATTCCAACAGAATATTGTGATTCTGTTTCGCGTCCCATAAAATGTCCCGGAACTTCAAAATATCGACAAATAAGCGGCAGATGCAATAACTTACAAAATCCTTACTTTGGTGCTGCAAACACAAGACTTATTCGTTTTATGAAACATCGATATGCAGATGGTGTTTCAGCACCTCCAAAATCAGTTACTGGAGCAGACTTGCCAAGTGCTAGATTGATATCACTTGAAGTTTTCAATGACACGGATATCCCAAATGATAAATATTCACAAGCTTTTATGCAGTTCGTACAACTTGTTGCTCATGACATTTCAAATGTCTTAAAAGTTCGAAAACAACGAGGGTGTTGCAGAAGTGACGGACAACTTGTTTCTAATCCTGACTCTAGTTGCTTTTACATACCCGTACCTGAAAATGATGAGATTCATAAAGGAATGAAATGCTTAGACTTTATGAGATCAACAACTGATGATGACATGAAATGTGGAAATAATCCAAAAGGTCCTGTTGAGCAAATAAATTCAGCAACAGCTAGTATGGATTTATCGCATGTTTATGGAGTCAACAGAGAACAACTTTCGAGGCAACGTTTATTTAGAAATGGGCAGCTAGCAATGGAAACTCGATCAAATTCAACTTGGCCATTACATGAACCAAACACCAGAAGTGTTTGCTTTTCAAGAAATTCTCGAGAGACGTGCTACATGAGTGGTGATTCAAGAATCAACATGGTTCCAACACTTTCAATTCTACAAATTTTATTTGTTCGAGAACACAACCGTATTGCATTGGAACTGCTTAAAATAAATCCTCAATGGTCGGATGAGATTCTATTTCAGGAAGCACGACGCATTAACATTGCTCAGTTCCAAAATATTGCCTATTATGGATGGTTCTATTCTATCGTTGGTGAGGAAAACATGAAATCACTCGGATTTTTTTATCAACCGACTGGAAGTGAATATGCGAATGACTATGATGAGACTGTAAACCCAAGCATATACAATGAATTTTCTGGTGGTGTATTCAGGTTGCTACATACAACAATCGATGGGCACTTAAGGTAAGTTTTCCAAATCCAACCTTGAAGTTAATTCTAATTTGATATAAAATTAATTTACAGAAAAGTATCCGAATCTGGATCATTTGAAGGAATAATCAGAATGTCTGACTTTTACCATCGTCCAAGGATCATCGAAGAAAATGGAAACTATGACAGCTTAATGCGAGGATTGCTGTCTCAACCAGCTGAATTTTACGATAACAGCTACGACCCAGAAATTCGTTCGTATTTATTCAAATTTCAAAGAGAATATGGAAGTGATTTGAAGGCTTTGGATATCCAAAGAGGTAGAGATCATGGACTTGCTAGTTATAATGATTTGAGGAGTTTCTGTGATCTTCCGAGAGCTACAAAGTGGGAGGATCTTGCAGATCATATAGAACTGGCTGTAAGTATTTGTTAGAATTTGATTCTTTAAAAGACAAGCTTGTTGTTTTTCTTGCAGGATATTGAAAATTTGAAGAAAGTGTATGCACATGTCGATGATGTTGTAAGTATTAAGCTACAAATCATTATTTGGTCGACAATTAAAAATTATTTATTCATAAAAAGGAATTGAACGTTGGATCATCCCTTGAAAAGCCATTCGGATCTGGAATCACCATTGGAATAACTTACGTTTGCTTGCTTAAAATCCAAGTATCAGCCTTTCGCACAGCTGATCGCTATTGGTTTGAAACTAGTAATCCTACAGTTAGATTCACACCGAATCAGTTGGCAGAGATAAGAAAGTCTAGCTTCTCGAGAATTGTTTGTGACAACACTCAAAGCATCTTTAGTGTCCCTAAAAACCCATTTTTTGTATCTAGTGATGAGAATACTTTTATAAAGTGCTCTGATGTTCCAAGAGTTGACTTGTCGTTGTTTAAGGAATAGTTGAGGAAATAAAGTTGAATAATTAAGTTTGTTGCATAACTTTCAGGAGTTTTTGAATTTCCGAACTAAAAGCATAGAGAACTTTAAATTTGCATGTCATTTCTACGTTGTTATTAAAGATTTGGAACAAATTCAACCTAAATGATTCAATTCTTCGTTGACATTCTTAAAACTTTGCCATAAAAATTTGATAGAGTTGCTGAAACATTCCAAATGAATAATAACAAAGCCATGAGTCATCAATCAATCAATTCATGTCATTTGTTTCTATCTGCTTCAATTTTGCATGTCTTTCACAATTCAAATTAGGCTGTAAGCAATTATGCTGACTTGAATATTTACAAAACAAATTCTGAAACAAAATTTTGAAAAGTTTCACAATTTCGGAATCAACAAACTCATTTAGTCATCATTATCACTTTATTTTTTCGATTCATAACAGCACAACGTCATCCATAAAAGCTATATACTCTACATTATCAGACTTTTATTGTAATTAAACATGATTAAATAAAAGAAAATCGCATTTTTTGTTCTTAATCGAATCAAACGTATAGGAAAGAAATGAAGAACCAGGAAGGTTAATCAGAATGTAAACTAAATTGATAAGCCTCAAATAATTTAAATTTAAACTTTTGGAATTCCTGCAGAGATTTCACTCTCGATTCCCAAATGATCTTCGCCTCTCAAGATCTTGAATGTACCATGATCACCCCAATCTGAGTTCCAGCTGTTTGCAACCCACCAGAATTTAGTTCCATCTTCAACACCCCATCCGAACATCTTGATTGCATGACCTCCCAATGCCTTTCCAGCTACGTGCTTGTAGACACCTGATTTATAATTGACAAAATCTTCATAAACTGTAAATGCAGCTTCGACTGGTCCGTTCTTGAAGATTTCTGTACGAATTTGATCTTCATCGCGTTTGACTGAGTAGCTTGATGCACCGAAATGTTTGTCGCCTTTGAAGTCAACTTTGTATGCTGAATTTGAGCACTTGTTGTGGCATTTTGGTGTCTTTCCTTCTCCACTGCATGGCATTCTTGTTCCGTTGACATGATGCTCGCATGGTGCGATTTCGTATGGCTGGAAAATTAATACATTAAATCCATTCATTGGATGACTGGTTCTAGAATACTTACAAGGCAGCCAATAGATGAGTTGTATGGACCACCGCTTACAATACCTTTGCGTACCCAGTATGACCAAGCAGATCCTTTAATATTCATCAGTTATTAATCAATTCTCATTAAGTTAACTAAAGTTTGTCTTACCTGGAAATCCTCCATTGCATCCGAATCCACAAGTGTGACAGCAGCTTACTAAATGTTCACTAGAGAAGTGGAAATGTTGAGTTGCATTAGAGTGGATACACCAACGATCACTCATAGCTTCAGCAGCACCAAAAGCCCAGCATGATCCACAACTTCCTTGATCTCGAATTTCACCGATTGTAGGGCAATCAGGCCATTGAACTCTAGAATCAAAATTATCTGGAAGTGATTCGATGTTTCCAATGTCATGGACTAATTCTGGCAAGCGGAAATGTGAGCTGTCTATAGAATAAAATCATCCAAAAATGAAAAATGGCGTCAACAAAAGAATTTTTAAGGCATAATTTATTTTGTTTACCTGGATGAACTCCCATCAATCCTTTCAAGAACTTAATGTCTGTATCTTGATGGAAATTTCGTCCAGCCTTCCATGTTGTCGCTTTACGGTTGATTAACTTGATAAACTATGTAAATTAGAACAAAATGATTAATTCAATTAGGAAGTAAGACGCAAAAGTAATATGTTCCAATACTCACATCATCAGATAACGGATCATGAGCGTAAGAAATTACAATAAAAGTAGCTAGTAGGATTAATATTTTCATTTTATTATCACTTTATTCCAACAAAGAAAAATTTCTTTTAAATACTTTTCAATATTCTTAATCGATCTAAAGCACAAAAACAACTGAGGCTGATTAATCAAACAAACAACTTGGTTTGCGGTGTAGGTACAGTGTTGGAAATTTTTTGGTATCAGTTGGTTGAATTTTAAAAAGTCGTTAGAAGAATTTCAGAAGGAATTTTGAATTTTTGAGGGGTGAATTTTGAAATTGGATTTATAGGTTAGAAATGAGGTTTTTGGGGTACCTAATGAATGAAGCTGAGATTCTTTAGACTTAATAAACCATGTTTTAAGCAAATTTTCAGTTCTCAAGACCTAATTCATGAATATCTTGTTGATCCTCTTGAGTCTTAAGAAACCGCATGGAATCGCATGTTTTAAAGCATCCATACCAGCATGCAGCATATGAGAATGAGGAAAAATTCAAAATTATTTCAGTATGTGAGAATCGATCGTAGCGTTAAGACGTTAATACGTATTTACTGCCGGTCTTATCAAATACTTTATTATCCTGATTAATTCAACCGCCGTTTAATCCTAATAAAGGAAGTTGATTAACATTTTAAAATTAAAAAAATAAAAATTAAATCAGTGCAAAAAAAAGGATAAATAAGAAATTTAAATAAATTGAAGGTTCAGTCAATTTATGAATGAAAATAAAGTGAGTCAAGATTAAGTTAGAAATAATTTAGTGGCAATATGAGAAAAATGAGAGATCTCAATTTATTTAACATAAATAAATTCAATCACGATGAGATTTAGAAAATAAAAAGTAAATGAATTTATGGTGTGTGTATAGAGTGAACATTCAGTAGCCAGTTGCTTGGATGGAACGATTTAAGTGGAAAATTGCTCATTGTTTAAAATAAAATGAAAATACTCAAGATATTTCTCAATGATCATCATCATCAGTTTCGTTTTTCTCCTTTTGGGAATTATCAGGAATTGATGGAGAATTTTTAGGGATTTTTGAGACCACTTTAGGTTAAGTTGTGAAATTTTCTATTCCAAAAATTCTATGATAGGACGAAGAGGTTCTAGACATCCACTGTAGCTGGGGTTTTGGTGTTAATTTGCAAAGTAGCTGAAGTCTAAGGCATTAGCAGTAACGATTAAAGTCTTACTCTGCCCTCGCTTCGATCATGACTCTTAATATCTGAGTACCAATTCCTTCCCACTGTTCAACGTCATTTACGAACCAATCCATCCTCTTCGTTTCTTGCTGCATTTCAGGCATTTATTTTTCTCCTGAAATAAGAGAAGATTTTTCTTCTAAAGTTTACTGAAATACAATAATATACAAATGGAACGAAATATTCATTTACTGTTGAAACGAAGATTAATGCAAATCGCATCTGTAGCTATTTTTCTCTTTCCTTTTTTGCGAAATTTCTTTCTTTTAAAAAAAAATGTGAGGAAAATGCTGTTAAAAAACTATTGTCAGTCTAAACAGAACGTGATCTTTAAGTAAACAAAAATGAATTTTTGAGACTTAAAATTGATCATTAAAAAATTGTTAATTTACTAATTCTTATTTTGAATATTGCAAATATTCTTAAAAAAATTTGAATATTGCAAAAAAATACTATCATCGATGTGCAAAACGTGACTTTTAAAATAAATAATTCTTATAAAAATCTTTTAAGGTAAATTGGAAAAAAAATATTTTGAAGGATGCACTGTGTGTAGAGTTCTGAAGGTGAATAGATCGTTGTGGAGTTTGAATTGAAATTGTTTAGTGGCTGTGAAAAAAATATTGGAAAAATTGAATTTAATTTTGGTGAAGTTTTGTTTTAGTCAAGTTTTAGTTGAATTTCCTTGAAAATCAGTTTTTGATTTAAGAATCACCGTGATTCTTTATCATAATTCTAATTGAATAATTGTTAATAAGTGATCAATTCAATCGTTATCAGTTACTTCTTAAAGCACTACATTCACTTATCTTACAAACTCTAATTCATCTCAATTTCTATCGGTTTTTAAAAATTAACAATCATAAAAAATGATTCAACAATAAAAAAAAATTGCTCATAATTTATGCCAATTTTATCATAAACTATTTGCCGTCCCATCCTTAATCAAATTCAACATTTAATGGCAAAGTAATAAAAAAAAATCTTTGTTGCTTCTTTTTCCCTCCATTTGTACGTGATCAGTTTTGATTAATTCCCAACAGCAGTGGCAATCACATTGCAAGAATATTAATTAGAATTTCCTTTCAAGAATTTTTTTTTCTTCACTCGTCAAACGCTTTATGCTTCGTTAAGAAAGGAGAAGAGTCGTTTTTAAAAATAATAGAATTTTTTTTCCATTCTGCGCAAAATTTTCATTGCAAATTTCCCATTTAATTGCCGCGCTGTGTGCGTTTACAGTTTCTTTTTTTGTTTACATCATTTTCAGCACTCACTTGTGTATTTCTTTGCCTCCCTCTCATGCTCTGCTCGACTAAAACTTTTTTATATTTTTCTTCATTTTAATGAATTACACTTGAATAAAATGTGTGAAATAAGAGTAACGCAGACGATGCTCGTGCCAAATGGGAATGATCGTATTCATTGAGAATTAATGTCATTAAATCAAATGGTTCTCAAATATTTTCAGGTGAACAGATTACAAATTGCATGCTCGTATTCGAATGCAATTTATCATTTGTGCTAACAAGAAAGGAGCACCGCACAGTATGAGAAAAAGAAATTGAAATTTTAATTGAAGAAAAGTTAATGTGGCACTGAGGTTGAGTGGATTGAGTGGATTTGTGAGTAATTGTGCGATTAAAGGGCTTTGAAGTTTGTTTCTTGAAGTTTCAACGGTTTTTGAATTTTTGAATTACTTAAAGTGCAATCCAAGGTCAATGATGATTCCATATTTAACTTTAATTTCTCATATTCTCGAGTTTTATCGAGCAATTTCACATTTAACATATAAAATAAACTTCAAACACACAGCATGAATCTATTTCCTATGAAATCCATAGCGCATAGCTCCTATAATCTAAAATAAACCACATTTTCCCAAACTGCAAACTCAACATTAATTTTTTTACGGAAATGAACATAAATTCAAAAATAAATACCGTTTTATGTGATGATAGAAATCATGAAGCAATAATAAACTGCATGAAGTGCAATGAAGACTTATTAAAATATTAAAAAGCCTGGCATAAATCATAACCTGATCCATTTCGACTTCATTCATGAAAATTAAGAATTTCTTTACTTATTTTTCACAATGTAAATTGCACGATGAAAAATCTTTACTTTTTCCTTCATATTAAGCCATGCATGTCTATTTATATTCATTTCTGTCAAACTGCAAACTGTAACACTTTTTTAAGTGCATCGCTAGACAAAAAAAAAAAAAGCAATCTGAAAAGAGAGAAAATAAGTAGACGAGATGAGATAATTTAATATGATTTAATCAGACATTAAGACTCAATGTTATGCATAATTTTTTTTTATGCAGCTGAGACTAGAGACATCAATTTGTGGCCTCTCTTTGCTTTTGTTTATTATTCCTTAAATGATTTCCGTTCTCTTCAGTTGATAGGCAATGGCATTAAATTCATTTATGCGGGCGGTGAAAGTAAATTTACTGTATAACAAATTTCGATTCTTCTTCCTGTTTAATGAATTAATTTTATACAGCAGAGTACTTAATTTTTATTTTCGGTGTTTCCATGAGGTTTTTTTTGAGGAGGAAATTCGAATTTATGGATATTGAGTTTTATTATTGGCTGGAATATTAGATTTTACTTCGTTTTGACTCTTATACATGGATACAACTTGATGAACTGAATGTGAATGAACTTTTGCTATCTTTTATAATGTTTTTATGCATTTATTTCATAATTTTGAATTATATTTATTAAAATATTCCATAAAAACTTTTCGAAGTGAGGAATTTTCATGTCGACCATTTTGAAGAAATTTTCAAAATTTAAAACCCCGTTAAATTATTTCTTAACAAAATTCAACAATTTGCTGCGAAAAAAAAATTCAAGAAAGAAAATATTTAGATCAATGTGAGCTGACTCATAAGCCATATATTCTGAAATTGTATACGATTATATCGGCAGGCAGTCATCGGATGAATTTCCATACCTCGAAAAAAAAAAGAAATATCTTCTTACGTACAAGTTTTTCCTCTCATTTGGATTAACTCTTTTAGTCTATTTTATCTAAAAATATACAAATGCTTGTAAGACGAGAGGAAAATAAATAGAGTCTTGTACGAATGTATTGTGGAAGCAAAAAAATATATTTAATTTTTTTTTTTTTTCATAAAGACTCGCCTTTGAAGTTCTGACTTAGTGATATTTGCGTTCACTTACGTTCAGATTTCTTTACGTCGTAATTGAACTGCGAAAAATGAAAATCCAAACGGCTCAATAACAAGATCACTCTTTTGTAAATATCTATTACAATCTACACGTATTAAAAAGCGAGAAAGGGATTTCTTCATATGCGCTGTGTTGAGTGAATTTAAAGTAAATTGTTGTAAATCATTTTAGGGTTATTGTATTTACGCACATAAATTTATGATTTATGCCGCTATCACTTTATAAATTTTCTTTTATGCTTCAATTGATCAAATAATTGCTGTGCGTTCTTGTGATAACTTCACACGAAATGGGTTGGAATTGAAAGAGTTTGTTGAAAATTGTAATCGCTTTTAAATTTAAAATTCATGCAATAAATTTCAAATCCACTAGAATATTTAATCTGCTTAATTGAAATATCGTTCAATTTTGTAATGAACTAGCGTGAGACATGAATTTTAAATATTTTATGAAGAATTTATGTTTTATTAAAGAAGAGAATTGATGATTGAATAGAAAGTAGTGAAAGAATTCAGTTAAATTAGCATTAGGATTGGAATTATTTATAATATGTAATTTGGCTGCTTAGTATGTATTCATAGATAACTTAAAACTATTCAAACCTACTCGAACCTTAGGAAATAATTTAAATCAATCAAAACTTATCTTGAGAGCCCAAATTCAACTTAATCATATAAAACCTAACTCAAATTCAACTTAACTCTCTCCAAACATGCCTTTGGTCATTTTAAAACAAAAAGTTCTACAATTTATTCAAAAAAA